AATTTGACTGCCAAGAAGGGAGTTTTGATCCTAAGTGTTGGGGGACAATTTTGGATCAAGTAGGCAAGTTTGCTGTTCATAAGCACAAGCAATCATCTAAGGGTACTTTAGAAATACAAGACTGATTAACATCCAGGGGCTACTTAGATTGTATATGCTGTGGCTATAGGCTTATCTGCCATTGTGAGAGTGTTCTGTAATGAGCTGGTCAGTGCCCCGAGTTATTTAAAACTTGATTTCAACAATGTTCATGGAGCATTCATTCTTATGGCTGTAGAAGCCATTTCCAGCCTCTCTTTCTCCCTTGACAGTGAAAGAAAAAAAAAAAAAAGAACCTAATTTACACAGAATTTCATATCTTCATGTTGTCATATGTCCTGAGCGGGTGTCAAAAAAATAGCTATGCCATTGTTGGAACCTGACTTCTCTTCTGCTTACACTCACTACAGAAAAACTTTGCTTCCCACAAGAGCTGACAGACATTTAGCTGGGCTCAGCAAAATCATCACCAAAAGTGACATATAAATTCTAGATAAATAGTCAGTATGCTCCTGCCAAGCCCTGCATTGAACTAATATGAAAAATGGGCTCTCTCAATACCTTGTCAAGAAAAAAAAAAGCCACAATCAAATTCTTTTTTTCAGTAGAACAGAATGATTACCCAACACAATGGTTACTGCCATAAATGTCCCATAAGTTATTTTAGGGCCATCCTTGTAAGTAATAGCTCTGGGCTATAAAACATAGAAAACAATATGCCAAGGTAAACAACTTAACTCTCACCTCTATACAGATTCACTACCTCAGTGTAGCAAGGAGGTGGGATCTTTTTCCACGTTTCTGACTGACATAGTTATGCTGGCAAAACATTATGCTGCAGGATAAGCCTCAGAGATCTCTACCTTTTGCCTTTATAGATCTTAACCTGAAGTCTTATTTCATTAACAGCTATAGCCAGAATTTATCCCTGGCCTCATCCCTCAAAACACTCACAAAATAAACATAGACTTTGGGTATGTCTATACTGCCCCTGTGAAGCGTGGCACACCCATTCTATGTAAGCTACACTCAAACAGCTGTATGTTAGCTCCTCAGGGTGGCGCTGGGAGCATGCCAATCATCTGCGACTCATGCATGCTTCCTGGCACACATCCAATGCAGTTCTAAAGCAGTTGGCTTTCATCAGGGGGTCAGACTTGAAGATCTACAAGGTCCCTTCCGACCCTACTTCTATGATCTGCTCTGGATGTACACTCATACAGCATACATGCCATGCTTCAATGTGTTGTTCCCCAGCATGGTCTGGATATAGCGTAGACATGCCCAAAGTACATTTCCACTGGAACTTTTGCTGGTGAGGAACAGACCTTGTTCACACAGCTAGCAAGCTACTGCTGACAGCAATTTCTAGCTCCCTCTTCCTCTGATATCACCAGATTCAGTTAACATGACTGCTGTTCACATTTCCACCAGTCTGTAAATTATTGCAAAATTTCAGTTTCGGTACCATCAGTTTTATATACTCCACTATATCTCCATCAGCCCACTGTGAGAGAAAATAAATGCAGCAAATGAAGTGGATATTCAGAATATATTTGTCTGAACAGCAGATGTTCTTTCATGATCACCCAGCTGTGATAGTTATTATTACAGAGTCTGCATTTAGATGTGCTTCAAAAACAATTTCAAATCTAAAATTATTACAATCGTCAGAGAAAACTGTGCTCCAAACACTTTTTTATCCCTTTCTGCATCCTTTCAATCGTTATGCAGTCATCCATTTTGAAATCTTTCCAGATTTGAGAGGCTTGGCAGAGAAAGAAGAGTAAAACCAGTGCAGAGGCATAGCTGTATCTATCTTTTACTGTATACCAGTGCATTGTGCTACACAATAAACACAGATTATCAAAAATATCTTGTTTTAAAAAGACTACATTTAAAGGATGATTCAGAAACTAGTCTGTGGCCCCTGTGAGGCTCTCAGATAAGTACTGCGAGTGAATCTTACTACTTTCTTAACCAAGAATTAGGAGAATACTTATGCCTTCTGCTGCATCTAGATGACTGCAGTTTGCATTAGTACTGTAGGCAATTCGAACAGACATTGCTGCAGAAGTGGAGGACAGCATCTTTATTTAAGACTCCTCTCTTGTGATAGAACATAGTCTTCTAACTTACATATTGCCAGACTTTCCTTCTCCTGAAAGCAAAGCAAAGCAATGCAGAATGATAAAAAATACTGTATCATTTTGATTACATATCTACCTTTTTCCTCCTCTAGAGGGAGCTATAAAGATTGCACTCAACTTACTTTTGCTGAGGGTCTATCATTTGCCCCCCCAGTTTTGTACTTACAGCACTTTTGTCAATTCAATAAAAAATACTTATTTGGATTTTTTCAGCACAGCTTTTATTTTAGTATTTTTTTAGGTAATTTAAACCTTTGGGTCCCTCCCTTAGTTATCTGATTCTCCTGTAGGATTTTGTAAAGGTGTAAGCAGTTCATGCTCATGATCTTTAGTTACTGACTTATTTTCCAGGGAAAACTGTTTTTTTCCTAAAACTGAACTTTAAAAAACGTGGGGTGACTTATATGCAGGGTCCACTTATAATCAGAACAACACAGTACACTATTATTAAAACTGCATGCTTCTATTAAAATGTTATAGTTTAGACCCGGCAAAATTTGACTTGAACAAGTAAAAAATTCTCAGTAATATCTCCCAATTTTTTTTTTACAAACTAGATGGCAGCAGATTTTCAGCTAGTACAACTCCATTCCAATGGATTTAAGCTACTCTATGCCACTTGGTATAAACCTACATTTGGTAGTTTAAGTCCACTTCTAACTCTGTCCTGTTCTAAATCATCATTTCTACACAGCTCCTTTAGCCTAAAGAATAAAGAAATGAGTGCAAAATAAAATTTCAACACGTGCATTTTTCTAGCCAACTGCAACAGCATTTTAAGGTGGCAACTTCACAATTGTGCCTACTGGAAAACTTTTAAGAATTGATTACTAGGCCAAGTTCTGATCTCAGTAGCACCAACACAAATCTAGACTTGCTGTAATACAGCCAGCAGTTACTCCAGCTGACATTAACATACCCCAAGATCAGAGCAAAACCTACCCATCCAAGATAGACCACCTACATCATTCCAACTGGGACTTCTAAGTAAGACAACTTCAGAGTGAAAGCTACATCAGACCTGATCTCATACAAATTCTGCCACTTCCTCTTTCCCTCCCCTTCGCCCACACCTTAATCAACGGACAGAACCAGGAACCAGACAGTGTTCGGCTAGACTAAACCATTCACTAGCACCACAGCTTCACAAGCTAATACTGTAGTTCACAACCTAGCATTTACTACCATTACATGACACTTACACTGATGGGTACTACACATTGCCGTGTTACATTTCAGAGATTTATTTTTCTTTTAAATTACTTTCTCAAGTGTAATAAGTGTAATTTTAATACTTTATTGCATTCAGTGAAACTGCTTCTTGTCACAGACACAAGAGACTGTGAACCAGCGTATTTTTGCCAAGGGCATAAGCTACTAACACTTTCCATATAAAAATTTCCTGTAAATTCACCTGGAAAAAAAAAAATCAATAGAAATTAGTTTAAGCTATTCTTCACTTCCTTGTGGTACAATTTAGTTACAGAAACAACACACACAGAGCTGTGAAAAAAATAGGGCTGTCAAACGATTAAAAAAATTTGATTACATTTAGTTGCGCGATAAAAAAAAATCAGTCGCAATTAATCACAATATTAATTTCACAGCTAAAAACTCAAAACTATGGGCAGAAAAACTCAAGTTATGCAAAATTATCCAGGTACTCTGTATGGTGTGGGGGAAGGGGTGGGGTGCGTGTGGGAATTTGTGGAGGTGTGGGGGGCTCTGTGTATAGAGTTTTGGTGGGGGGAGGTTCCCACATTCCCTGGCGGTATGTGGGGTACTGTGGGTCAGGAATGAGAGGCAGCAGCAGGGCTGGGGGGTGCTGTGGCTTAGGAGTAAGGGGCAGATGCACAGTCATGCACAATGACGTGTGCACACCGACACCGCCCAGTAGTAAGCTTGTGGAGGGGAAGGGGCGGGGGGCAAATTGAGGCCCCAACAATGAGGGAGGGAGTGGGGCAGGGGTGGGTTATGGGATGCAGCCACAGTCCAGGCGTGGGGGTAAGGGGACACAGTTCCACCACTGTGTGCACCCTCAAGGGAAGCATGGGAGGGCACATGCCCCCTGGATTTGTGCACGGGGCAGAGGCAGGCTGTGCCCTGTGGGCTCAGGGCTCTGTGCCCTGCTGTCTTTGCCTCGGAGCCAGACGACGACATGCTGTGCGCCTCCCACCACCCAGTGGGCAGGGGACATGCAGCGCAGCAAGTGTGCGGTTTCTGGGGCAAAGGCAGCAGCGCGCAGAACCCCAGCCCGCAGCCTGCACTAAACCTTCACCAGGCACACAAATCTGGTGGGCACATTCCCCTCTTCCCCATGACCCGCCCCACTCCCACTGTCCCCATGGGGGCCTCATGATTAGTCTGCAATAATTTAAGATCATCAGGAAAGCTCTCTCTTATCTGTAGAGTTGGGCTAACTGGACAGCCAGAATGACAAATTTTATAATCCAGTCAGACAAGCAGTGGGAGAACTACTTAGTGAAATCTAGCTTCTCATTCCCTTCTCCTTGCAGAAGGGCTGAAGGTGCTGTCTAGGCCAAAAGGAGACCATACCTTGCTCAGATGCTGGAACTGAATTAGTGTTCCATGAGCACAGAGTATTAAAAAAAATATTAAAAATTTATATAAAGCCACAGAACAGGTATGTGATGGAGGCATAGAAAGAAATGAAGTGGACCTAGTGGAACGGAGGACTTACAAGAGCATGCTTCTTTCCTGGCATTCTGGTATGCACAGTTTATATAAAAATTGAGCTTCTAAGTGTAAATACCTTCTCCTTCCCTTATTTCCCTTCCCCACTCATCTTACCTTAAGAGCACCACAAAGCTCAACTGTGTCTGCATCACCCACTACAGTTATTCTGAAATTTGGGGTCTGCAGGAGTTCTTTGAAGAGAAGGCCATTTTCCAGAATTTTACTGCCTGTTGAGAACAAAACATACATGAAAAATATATTTAACTATGATCAAGATTTTTTTAGGTTACCTTGGTAGGTGGAAAGGGATGATGTAAGACACAAGAACAAGTCTTGTCTTTTGGAACTAAAGCAATCATTGCCAATATTTCAGGTTTGAGATCCCTTCTGGTCTGATTCTAGCTGTTATAACTGAATTTGTGTAGGGCTCATGACATGCTCAGAAGTGCTGTGGACTCCCAATAGGGACCATGATTTACTGTCTGGGAACCGCTGAGCTGAAGGTTCCTGTTGCGGTTGCAATGATGATATATCCTAAAAGCTCTGAAGAAAGTTACTGAACACATAACTGTAAAACATTTACCAAGCCCAAAGTTATACTTCTAGTTTTGGGGGGTGGGTGATGTTTAACTGTTCCACTGTAAAAGAAAAAGGGTTGCTCTGAAGTCACAGCCCCAGTGAGATGCTATAGTTGCACTCTCCCCTTTTTCCTCCACCCAGGAGTGGATTTAGGCACAAGCTAAGTAAGGTACAGCTTAGGGCCTCACATTATTAGGGGGCTCTAAATACTAAATAATGTCCTTTCTGTTTGAGTAATACACTTTTTTTTTGGTAATGCTATGGGGCCTGTTAAGCTTGACATAGCCTAGGGCCCCAGCATATCATAATCCGGCCCTGCCTCCACTCTAAACACCCTGTTGCTACTTTTGGCAGTGTCAGCATTATAGGTAGTCGAACAATGAAATGTGAGTCATAAGCCCTTCTGATAATGACTGACCAATGTTGACAACCATGACATTCAAGTGATTTCATGAGGAGTTTTGAGGATAACAGTTTGTTTCGAATACTGTTTAACTGCATGACACCTTACCTATTGTGGTTTCACAAAACTTCTCTGCTGCTACCTCATTGGCAATGTTAGCTCCCATCAGCACACTGATGTCTATTCCCATTTTCTCTCGAATAATATCGGAAATCAGCTTGAGTCCCTCAGGGCCTTCATCTATCCCCTAAAGCCAATATAAAAGTGAATTACTAAAAAGGTGCTAGACATACTAGATAAGACTGTATCACAATTACTCTTGTCCATGGGTGGGAGCTACAATAAAACCTAGGCACTTAGGAGCTGAAAATAGTGAACATGTTAAAAGTAAGACATTATAGCGATATAGACACCTCTGGGTATGATGTCCTATCCATGTTATGATCACTTATGATGCCTTATTTTGATACAAAACAGCACCTACAACTGGGAATGATGACAACAGGATTTATTTTTTACACTAAACCAGGAGCACAATCCTACAAACAGGATGAGTGTTCAACTCCAACTGCACTGGATCTTCAGTTCCTATAAATCAGTGAAAGTAATTGAGCGGCATTAATTTATATTCACTGTCTTGGTTGCATATGAGAATGACCAAGGTGTCACACAGGACTAAACCTTACAACTGAGGTATAATATTTTGTGGGAAGTGCCCCAAACTGAAGTATCAGAGAAGAATTCCTTTGTGTTTAATGCCAACAACAGCTTATTAAAAATAGACAGTTCTAGACACTTTTCACAGTGTGAGAAGGCAGTTTGTAGATACAAAAAGCCTGCGCAATGACAATATTTTTTCTTTTATGTTACGTTATTCATCTATAGATCTCAATACTTTGTAAAGTGCTCTGCCCTCAATCTTAGAGAGAATGAGGAAAGAGAATGAATGACACATTGATATTTGTGCTGGATTCTGTTCAACACTATGAACTTCCTGCACCCAGGACCGTCCCGTGCTGCCAGCTTCACGTCTGGCCACTCAGCACCCCCTCCCAGCCCCCACCCCTCACTGCTGAATCCACTGCCAGCTTCCTCGCATCTGACGGTGGGGCACTGCACAGGCCAATTTGCCCTGGGGCCTGCACCCAGTTTGGGTCATCCCTTCCTGTACCATATTCATTAAACTGAGCCACATCCTTTTACTAATATGCTTCTCCCACAGAGCTAAAATGTGAATGTGTTCTGCTTTTATATGGGAGAAAAAGCCCAGGGCTCAACACTTTCTTCCTCCTTCCCAAAAGAATGAATAGTCACACATTTTCTTTACAAGCCCTTATTTTCAAATGGGTTTTTCAAATCAAGCACATAGAAGATGATTGCTTTGAACTACACATGGGTTAAAAGAATGCACAAAAGGGAAAGGCTGGAATTCATTTGGCAATGTGTAAGTCACAGAAAAGGTTTCAGGCTGGCAGGGTTTTTGTACTTCTATGGCTCAAACAATGCTTTGTTTTTAACACTGTAACATTGTGCAACTAAGAGATAGGATGAGATCCATATGTCTCAAATCAGACAATTAAGATGAGAGCATCAGTTTCCCCACTTTCATGTTGCTTCTTCATTCTCTAGGACTTAGTATGCAGACCTGACTTAAAATCTTTGTGGATCACATTGCAGGGCAATGAGAGCCTGAAAGCATGCAGATGCGCATGTCATTTTTTAAAGAGCTCCAAAGAGGCTTTTACAGTCTCTTTTAAGGCCCCAAACAGGCAATTAACCAACAGCTGCCATTTAGTCTGAGGTCAGTAAAAAGTACGCCTGCGTGAAGTGGCTAGTATTTGCTTTGGATATGGACGATTCGGGGGACAGTGATTCAATTCAGTGATTTGAATCACTGTCCTGAATCAATTTGGCCAAATATGATTCAGTGATTCGGCCACCACCGAACCGGCTGAATCTCTGAATCAAACAGGCTCCATCTCACGCCCACTCTCCCCACCCTGTCAATGGCTGCTCCTCCCAGCCCCAGCACTTTAAAAAATAAAAAAAAAAAAGCCCCACACTCACTCCCATACCTGGCAGGAGCCAGTGATCTCTGCTGACCCATGCTGTATGGGGGGGCTCTGCCACAAGTTCCCAAAAGACCAGACAGCTGCTGCAGCAGCAGCCAGTGTGTGCGGGGCTTTTTTTTTTTTTTTAAACACACCAGAACCAGGAGCTGGGGCAGATGGGGAGGATGGGAGAGCAGGCAGGGGATAGGGCTTGTGGCACAGTCCCCCACACAGTGCAGGGCAGTGGGGGATAGCGGGGATCACCCCCTGCCTGGCAAGAGCCGGTGAACGCAGGACTTATTTTTTAAAGAGCCAGGACACTGGGGATGGGTGGGGCAGCCATTGATGTGGCTGTGAGAATGGTGGGGATCAG